CGGGGCTGGGCTGGGGACTATGTGGGAACACTGGCACAGGCAGTCACAGCCTGGGCACACTGGCTCTGCTGGGGGGTGACAGGACCCTCTGCTGGGGACACCTGGGGACACGGCTGCCAAGGGAGCCTGGGGAGCTCATCCCTCGGGAGCACAGGGCCAGACACACCACATGCCTCAGTTTCCCCACCTGTACAGTGGGGTGGATGCGGCGTGGAACCCGTGGGCTGTGTGTGGAGGAGCGTGGCAGGGGGTTCCTGGGCCCTTTGCTGCTGTGAACTCTGCTCTGCCCAGCCCCGTGGCCCTGGGTCAGCTGGTGATGGCTCTTCAGGGCCATTCAGGCCTTTTGAGCTCATTGAAACCCTCTGCTTTGGGCATTTACAGCCTCAGGCTCCTCTGGACTCCTTCCCCCAGCACCCTCCACCTCTGGATGCACACATGGGTGCTCGGGTGCAGCCGAGCAAGGCCTGGAGCACCCCAGGGCTAAGGAAACCCCCCTGGCTCCTAGCCCCCCATGCACTGAGCAGGGGAAACCTTCCCTGCCAGGGGAGCACAGCTCAGGGACCCCAACCCCAGCCCTGCCTGCTGCCCCACACGCGGGGCAGCGTACACAGCTTCCCTGAGCAAGGGGCTTCGGGTTCTGCCGCCCGCTGCTCTCGGAAATCGCGAGGCAGTGGCCGGCTCATATTATTTTTCCTGTTGCGAAGCCGGCTCCTGGATTGCAGTGAAGCCGGGGATATGTTCGGCGCTTACTCTCTTACCTGCCCGAGGGCCTTGGTCCCTGCCTGGGCTGGCAGGACTCGATGCCCAATGCTGGGGCAATGAGGGGACAATTTATTCACCACCATCCTCCTCTCACTGCTGCAGCCTCGAGGAGCTACTGGCACTCTCCTCTCTCCTCCCAGGGTGGAATCCAGGAGCCGAGCGAAGCTTCCAGAGCCTCCCCAGCTGCAGCACCGAAGCTCCCACAACCACTCGGGGGGCAAACGGAGCGACCAGCAGTGACATTTCTGGGCGATGGTGCCCTTGGGCAGCCCCACTCTTGCCGTCTGCGCCTCCAGCAACCTGCGCCTTGTGGCCCCCGGCCGTGGCTCCCCCCTGGCCTGGCTGAACCGGGGTCCCGAGTGCCCGGGGGAACCGGGGGACAGCGGGGGCCGGAACCACGCAGGAGTGGCGCGCTGGAAGGCCGACAAGGCCAAATACGATCAAGACTCCACAGGTCAATGCAGCCGCGGCAGGACAGGCGCTGGGGGGCTACGCCCCGGGCTTGTCCCCAGCATCGCAACACAAAAAATCCAGGCCGCCTCACTCAGAAGCAACTCAGCAGCTAGCAATGAGCTCGTGCCAGGGCTCCGAGCTGGGCCGGGAGGGGCCCAGGAAGCTGCGTGCCCCGTCCCGCCGATAGTCCGCGGCGCCAGCGGCAGCAGGCGCCTGCTGAGTATCCCGAACTCCATATATCCACGGAGAAACGGGATTGCCTGGGCGGGGACAAGGAGAATGCCAAGGGCTCCGGGCTGGTGCGACGCCTCTTCCAGGGACCCCTCAGGGACAAGCCCCCCAGCTCCCCGCCAGCCAGGGGGCTGGGCGAGGGACCACCACCCCCGCAGAGCCCCGAGACCCCCATGCTGTGGGCGCCTGTGGAGAAGGAGGAGGCGAGGACACCGGGTGCCAACAGCAGCAGCGGCAGCGGTGGCACCTTCCCCGTGCCCGGCAGCCCCCTGGCAGAGCCCCCCGGGAAGCAGGCGCTGGCCCTGCGTGTGTCGCTGC